CTGCAATACGAATCCTAAAATTCCTAAAGATCTCATAGAGCTCACGGATCAAGTGCAAAGGCACGCCATATGTCCTACAAGAGCAAACTCAGCATTATTAAAATGAGAAAAGAGAATGAAGTTAATAAAGAGCAAATACAGTGAAGATAGAATAATAGAGGATATAAATCGTGCATTTTAAACTATTAAACGTATATTAAATACCAGCATATTTAAGTCAAGAAATTTGCATAATACACTTAATCTGGAGCTTCATTTAACCTCCTTATCTCTTAACTGTGTGTTAAGCAGTTGGCTTTCAATATAGTAGAAAGGAGAGAACAGATAGTTGAATGTCCGAAACGGAACCGTGTTAGTGAAATGAATATCTTTCTGTGTTTACAGTCTAGCAATGAAATCATGACCACAGAGCTCTTATCCAAAAAACTCCAAAAGAAAAAAACAATTCGTAAGACTACAATCAAAAGCATCTTTTTTCAGTGGCAATGTGTGCATGTAAGCAAAAAACTCTGCCTCTTTCAATCTAAAGGGAAATAAGAAAAACTGATTGAAAATAATAAGGATGTAAAGGATATCAAAACAATCAACAAATACCATGTAGTCAAAAGACACTCCTGTGAGCCATCTCTCATAATTAACATGAAAGTAAAATCTGACAGCCAATGATTAAGGGCACAAATCCCAGTTACCACATGATTATTATAGTTTGCATAACATTCTTTGAGAAAAACCAGCATCCTCCTACTTTGACATTGGGGCTTAAGCAATATGAGTACATCTTTACAGAAAGGGATTAATTCAAACTTCCAATTCACACAAATGAGATAGGCTTAGTGAATGTAGCTTGATTACTTACATGAAAATCACAAGAAAGAAACACAAGTACATCGACAAGTGAAGCAAGTCTCGGATAAGCTCCAAGTAGAATGTATAGACAGGCTTTTTTTCCCATTGTCCCTCCATGAGCACATCACTGACATAGAAAATATATTTCACAAATGTTGACACGGCTGTTGTCGCAAGAATCATATACCTGAAAAGCAAGTCCTTGACTTTATTTAATGATGACAAAAGATCCTCAGAGATCCAGAAACGAACATCATAGGATATTTAAAAGACCTAACTCCAGCAAGAAAAAAACAAAAAGACAGTAGTCATGAATTCTCTATATACGATATTAAATATCCAATTTTAAAAATAATTTGTTAGTTCATCTAACATGGTCTTGAAATATTTGACATTCTAACCACAAAACATCATAATTTATGCTTGAACAAAGACAGATGCAAGTTATATACCATACGGTTGAAATTGCCAACTTACTCGAATGAAAAGAAGAGGGAAACTGAAGCCTTCCTTGTCTGTATCAGAGAACCTATCGAATTATACAAAAACAGACTATCTAGAACAAAGAGAAATCCCAAGAAAGAAACAATCCGGATATGAGACAACAACGGCACCGATGGAGTGGTTTCCATGTATTCAACCCTCTTCTGAGCCAACCAATGCAAAGCTTTGATCAACAACAAAGCCGTAACCATAGCAAGGAATGCAACAGAAAAATCTTGCCGAAAGATAGTGATGGCAAAGAGGATTTCCATCAACTCCTTCCATGATTGCTCATTGAGCCTCTCAACCTCTGCTTCTCGGAGAGAACCAAGAAATATTTTTTTGGTTAGCTGCCACAAAATGCACATGAGGACTAAACCCATGTTGAGAAGAAGCACTAGATTGATCTTGGAAGTTGATAAATAGACCAACGCTGGGTAGAACTGGCCTCTACTGTTAAAGGCATGATAGATCACCACTATAGTTGCAATGAAACTAATTCCCGCATATGTTTGCAGCTTCATCATTCTCTACTGAACTGCCATGTGAGAATTAGAAATGTCAGCCAAATGAAACAATATATCGATGCTAAAATATCATTGTTGCCTATCTTTATAGTAAATTAATTATCTGTATGGACGACATTTAAATTAAGAAGTAAGGCATAAAAAGCCTTTCATGAATGTGAGGATTTTCCTTGTCCAAGCAATCCGAGCTTTTCCGGGTTGGCTGGGGGAAATAGGGGAATTTTCAATGATGAAGATCTTCTATAGGAAACTTCATTTGCTGGTTTCTCATGGACGTCTTGGTCTAAAAACTAGAGTGACGTCCATTTTATGCTTAATTCCAATATTTGATAACTCTTCGTGTAATCTCTTTCTAGATTATTGAAGATAAGTGAACTTGAGACCTCTGCATCCCCCATATCGTGTGCATATTTATGCAATGCTTCCTGGAAGATCCTCATAGCTTGAGGGAAAAATTCAATTTTAAATGCTTCAAAGGCTCCCTTAGGTTCCCCAAAAAGAGAATTATAATTGATTTGGCAATGTAAAGTTAATAAATTAAGATGCTCAGATTTCTAATACACCATCGAATTTTCCCAAAGATGGCCAATAAAAAGGAAGATGGAGACCAACCCAAGCTCTAGGTCAAAGTTCTTTGAATTTAACTGTAAAATATAGGAAGCTGTACGAATGAGATATACCCATTTTAGCAACTCGGTTCCCTCCGTTTACATAATGCCAAAAAGTTCCAGGTCCCAATTCCCACTCAAAGCCCAAAAGCACTGATCATTAGAAAATCAGGCAAAATACACGCTGTTTTGTCTTATCCACGCGACAAATGCATGCAAATTCAACTGGGATTAATCATCCTAAGGTTTGCAGAAGTGAATTAATTCCTATGATCTATGTTGAGTTCATCAATACCATCCCAACATTCGATAACACCAGCCGGGCAAGGCATTTTCCTACAATTTTTCCAGCGCTAACATTTGTTCTTTCTCGACGCGGACAATGTAATGTATTTGCAACATGGTCTGACTAAACTTGGTAAACCAGAAACCCGTAATCCTGGTGTTACAAACCCAATTGACCGAGAAAATCCACAAACATCAACAAAAAAGTTGTTTTTCGAATTGAAATCTTGCCTGTTTGATCGGCGACTATGGCTATCTATGCCCGGGCAGATCTAGGCGGCAATCCAGTTGGAAGTCGATGAAGATGAGACGAACACGAAAAATTGCAGAATCATGAAAGCTGATGCAGAACCGAGATGGAATTCAAAGTTAGGGCTCCTCTTTCAAAGACTTTTTCGGATGAATTCTCCCAATGACATTGTTTTATCCAATCAAAGTCGGCCACGTATGCTCGTAGAGTCAATCCAACTACTTATAATTTGGGGGTAAATAGTAAAAGATAATCTTGCAATATTTTATAAATATTTTAAAATTCAACATTAAATTAGAAAAATCTTTTGTTTTAAATCTTCGTCCAAATATCTCATTACTATATATGTGGTTAATTTTCTATCCAATATTTTAAAAATTATTTTTCTAATATTTCTAAAAATAAACTTTTAAAAAATAAATCAATATTACGATTAAACTTTAAAAAATTTAATTGTTACCCTTCCATAACATTGAAACTTTTTAATATTACCTTTTAAATCTAATATTAAAGATTTTTTTTTAATTTTAAATTTTTGTCAATAATATTAATGAAATTTTAAAAAAATTTAAGATATTTTTAAATAGAGTTAAAAATGGTATTTTTTTTTTAAACTGAATTTATTTTTTAAACAAAATATTAATGATTTCATCCCAACGGTAAACCGTTTAAATATATTTTTAAATTATATAGTTGAAATTTTTTAAAATTTATGAATAATTTTTTTAAGAGGTTTAAAGATCTCTATCATTTAAACATAAAAATCAAAATTTATATATATATATATATATATATTCATACATGTCAGCTAAAACCATAATTATCTAAAATGGTCTATTTGGTGAATTAATAAGCTCACGTGCATACCCATAAATTTGTTAGGAATATGTCACTTTATCTGTCGATTATCTAATAATTAATTTTTATTTAATGAACATCTGTGTGAATTATTAATAATTATTCTCATTATTATTATCTTAAACACGAGTTATAGATCACGTCAACCCCCAAATATGTCTCGAATTATAAAGGTTTCTAATAAACATTTTCACATTTCAATTACTCGTATGTAAATATAATATAAATCGTATATTTAACATGTATGAAATAATCTATATTATTTTTTATTAATAGTTTGTCTTAACACGACAACCGCTAGCAAATATTGTTCGATTTGGTCTGTTACGTATCGCCGTCAATTTCACGATTTTAAAGTGCATTTACTAGAGGAGGTTTTCACACCTTTGTAATAAATGTTTTCATTGAGATCTCACTATCCATCCCCTCCTCTAATATATATTGTCCGCTTTGACCAATTGCATGTCGCCGTAAACCTTATAATTTTAATATGCGTCTATTAAGAGAGGTTTTTCACACCTTTATAACGAATATTTTTCATTTTTTTCTCAAATCAACGTGAAATCTCACATAAGTCAACTCATTTTCTATTTACGAGAGAACGAGACATTTTTAATTGTGAATTTTGTTCATCGACAAAATAAAATTTAATTTTTTCAAAACCATCAATCGAGTTCGTAACCACAAAAAATACGAGAACATCTTTCCAGCACTATCAATTTTAAAAATTATTTTTTCTGATATTTAAATAGTACATAACGATAAAAATACGAGTATATCCTAATTTTGACTCAACTGTTATTAAAGAAATCACCTCCTAAAATTTTGATTTGATTAATTAGCCCTCATACTTTTAAATATTGCAATGATGCCCCTAACTTTTAAGTTGAACGTTGAAATTAGTCCTTGTACTTTTATTTATTTATTTTCCGAGTGATGTATTGGCTTTTTGGTAATAGTTTGGGCAAATTTTTAAATAGAAGAATACGGGTGGGCCATACTCGAATTATGATAATTCAATATATTATTATTATTATTATTTTATTTACGAACAATAATCAACCACCACGCTAGACCAACCGAGAAATGGAAATTATATATGCATTAATAATTATAAATTCGCATTTAAAACGATTTAAAAAAAAAAAAAAAAACGAAAATTTAGAACTGCATTCTTTATTACCCGCGAGTTGCTTCACATTCGCTGGTGTGTTCTTCTAGTGTTCGCAAGATTTTCTTTCCCTCCATCTCGATTGTTCATATCCTTTCCATTTATTGTTCTCGAATTCAAACGATCTTCTTTGTTGGATGTGATTGCGAGTAGTTGTTTCGCTGCTTAGGAGCTGAGGTGGAGCAATGGCATCCGATCATCAGCAGCCAGCTCTTTCTTCCTTTGGAAAGGTTTCTTACTCCTACTTCACCTGAGTTTATGCTTCTTTGGCTTTTTTTTCTTGTTGTTGTTGAATTAAACTCAGTGATATCGTGGTCAGTTTGGTTGACTGGAAAGTATTAAAGTCATTATAAGAATTTTGCCGGAGTAGGAAGTTGGAGGTAGAATTTTGAATTCGTGAACTGGGGTAAGGTAATGGTTTTTCAATTAGGAGAAGATCGTGAACGAACTTTCGTCGTTTTCATTGTTTCTTCCGCGGAGCAGATGGATGCGTATATTAAAATGCTAAATATGAATGATTTTTTTTTTTTGGTTTTCTTCCGTTTGGGATGTGAGGATCGGCTGATAAAGAGTGTAAAGTGAATTCATAATTGAATCAGATGAATTGGTGCAAATAGCTTAGCTCATGGAGTTTCTTTACAATTGAGTTATTTGTTCTAAAGGAAATATACCCTGTCAATGAACTAATCATTTTTCTTGACATGTCATATAAACAAGGCAAGACCTAAGCATCTTTTGTTGTCTTGTTCCGTGTAATCTTTCACAGCCTTGCATACATTCCCACTATCGAGTCTATTCTCCTGTTCACAGAGCTAGGATTCAGCGAAGTGGTGAAATCTAGAATTAACATAAGCGGCAACGATACAAATTATTGTGTCTTTGATACCAATGATTTACGTTGTTCATTCTCAGTTTATTTCCATGGAATTAGTAAATACCACTGCTTTCTTCCAGGTAGGACAATCATCTGGTGAGATTGACGATGTCGAGGAACCTTTAGTTTCTGTTGAATTTAAGAACTCGGAGAATTATTCTGCCACAGCTGCAATATTACCGTAAGTCTCTTGAGTAATTTTTTTCCTCTTTTCATTTTGTTCGTATACTTGCTGTCTCTAGTGGAGTTGCCACCACTAACTTCTCGAATATCAACCTTCTGTTCCACCCATGCTTTTTACGTTTCTAGTTGACTAAGAAAATGAAATTTATAAGCCTCAACTATTTATTAGTTAACTTAATGAGTTGGAATGATCAAATTGTGCAATGCATGAAGCAATTGGAGCACCTTTCTGTGTATTCGTTTCAAATTCTATGGCTTATACTCAATAGACTCCGTGAATTGAGATATCTGTCAGATGCTGAAGTAACTAACTTTCTACTTCGTGCCCCCCATTGGTCTTACAAGAATTCTAAGGCCTATGGGTATTAGAAAAGGAAATAAATGATTTTTGAGCCTCTTACTCGTTCGTTGATACCTTGATGCATGTGAATTTGGCTAAGCAGATTCTTGTTCATTTAATGTATAACATTAGTCTCTAACACAAGCATTTCAAAGTATCTTCAACCACGTTCATTTATGTTGCTGACATTTCACGGACATAAAGACATTGATGATATCTGTAATATTGTAGGTTTTGTTGTTAGGAAATTTGTTTTCTGTAACTTAGAAGACGCTGTGTATGGATGCCTATCAAAATGGAAATGCTTGATGGAATTGCAGAATAGGTTTTGATTTTTTTTGGAAACATTATTTTTCAAAAAAATAATAATACGTTTTTCCGCGTGATCTCTATATTTGTACTTTCTCATTCTAATGAAATTATTATTTCCCATCTAAAAGATGCAATGAACCATGTTGTTATCAAGAAACCAAATGAAAATTACACTTCATGTGGGGTTTCCTATCTATAATTTCAGATTTCTATTTCCTGCTCTTGGAGGACTACTTTATGGGTATGATATTGGTGCAACATCTTGTGCAACAATTTGCTTACAGGTATAGTTTTTGTTATGCTATAAAAAGCATCCCATTTGTTGTGCTCCAACTGCAAGTTTATGAATGCTGTAAAACCTACTGCAAAAAAAAAAAAAAAAACATTTGTGCTTCATCTTATAAAATTGATGCTTGATCGCAAATTATATCGTCATTAATTATGTTTATTTTGGAGATTCCGAATAGTGTTACGTTCGGTTATTTTTCTCATTATGTGTAGGGTTGAAAGGATATGATTCTGAATTTTCTAAGACGTTTGATTTTCTCTCCTTTTATGTGGTCTTTAGTCAAAAGTGATTGTTGTGGGAATGTACAAATATGCAAGTACATGTGGTTAACGATTTATAGTGTAAAAGAGCATCATTCCACGAAGATTTATTGAGATAAATTTTGTTGTCTCGTACTTGGCTAGATTAAAAGTAATTTAAATTGGTGCCTAGAAGAATCAAGAAAATGTTTTCAGAACACCGGCTACTGTTCTTAAGACATGAATTGTTTTGAAACGAAAATTGTTATTGAAAAACAATTAAAACTCAGTTAGATCATTTATTCTTCCAGAATTCCATATCCAGAGTTACGCAATTGTTCATCTTGTTTTAAAAAAATTCCTTCAGTTTCTTCTCATTCTTATCTTGGTTTATTTCTGTTTTCTTTCCTTGCAGTCAGCATCATCCAGTGGAATATCATGGTACCACTTATCTTCTGTAGAAGTTGGCCTTGTAGTGAGTTTGCAATTGAAATTACGAGCTAATATTCCTGGATAAATAATAGTGTAGTTGGTTTAACTTTTAGAGCTGAATTTTGCAGACTAGCGGTTCCTTATATGGTGCCTTGATTGGCTCTATCTTGGCATTTAACGTTGCTGATTTTCTAGGTTGGTTATCATAAGATGCGAAGCAGTATATGGTAAATATGATATCTCTGTTTCATTCCCTGATTAATTTAATGCCGAATTTGCATGAAAGGGAGAAGAAGGGAGCTGATTCTTTCTGCTTTAATGTATCTCGTCGGAGCTATCATAACAGCACTTGCTCCTAACTTTGCTGTTTTGGTAATTGGGCGCACCATATCTGGGATAGGAATTGGATTGGTAACGCAATTTATGTTATTTTCTTTACTGCTGATGTTTTACTTTTGTCTATATTTCAAAACATGATTTGTGTGCTATGAAAATGAATATGAACGTACCCAAAGATATTTTGATAAAGATGATAAGAGCATTTAATTTCAGTATTTTGTCTTCTAGGCGATGCATGCAGCACCAATGTACATTGCTGAAACTTCCCCTAGCAAGATACGTGGGCAGTTAATCTCTCTCAAAGAGTTTTTTATAGTGCTTGGAATGGTTGTAAGTGCTTCTACCTTATTCCATTTTTTTACTACTTTAATACAAGTTTCTTTCTTCCTTTTTTTTTTTTTTTTTTTTT